CAATTTATTACCTGGTGGAATTCAAAAATTATTTAATGAAAGGGAAGGGGGATACAATTTAAGGGGTCAGTTAAATTTAAAAATTCATGCTATACGTACAACCAAAAAAAGATTTTGTATTTCCATAAGTGGGGTAAAACTATGGAATAATTTAAGTGTAGACATAAAAAAAGTAATAGAATTGACGAGTTCAAACATAAATATAAAGGTATGTGTCAAACAAGATATATGCAAGAACAGGTTTAATGATTATATTTTGTAACCATTCTTTAGTATATCAATTGTGTGATTTAAGAATGTTAACACTGTATATTCTTTTTTAGTATAATGTGTGTGTGTGTGTGCAGAAGTGAATCATTTATTGCTTGCAAACCAATGATGGTAAGATGATGTCATGGGGTAGGACTGGATAAGTCTGACTTCTTCCTACTCCGTTCAAGCATGTACTAGGTATAAGCAAATTGATATTGGATTGTGTGTAAAAATGGGTGTTGTTATATCAACTGTTTTATATGCTTGAAAGAATAAATAAATCAAATCAAATCAAATCAAAAGCTCAAACATTTTGAGTTTGCTTTTCAGAAGAAGCATCTGCTGATGTGAACCAAGCTTGACATGTTCTCATAAGGCTATGATCAAGAATTGTTGCTTTCCATGAAATTGGAAAGGGTTACAAAGTAATCTCAGTTTGGATAGTGATGTCTGCAGTTATATAAATTGTCTATAAATTCAATGGGGCTGTTTTGCTTCTTCTGGGCCTGGATAACTTGGCATCAGCGATGGGAAAATGAATTCCCAGTTTATCAAGGAATCCTACAGGCTAATGTCAGGGTAGCTGTCCATCAGCTGAAGCTCAGTGGAGGTTATGTGATGAAGAACAATGACCCTGAACATTGAAATAAATCTACTACAGAGCAATTTTAAACAAAGAAAGACCACATCTTGTAGTGGTCCAGTCTGTGGAATGACCTCAAGAGAGCCATGCACACCAGACATCCTAAGAATCTGGCTGAGCTTAAACAGCTCTGTGAGGAAGAATGGTTCAAAATTCCTCCTGAACATTGTGCGGCTCTGATACACGCGCTACTGGAAGCACTCGCTTGAGGTTTGACCGGTCATTAAAACCATGGGTTCACTTGTACCACTAACTCTATGAACGTTTAGTGTGTGTTCAGTAAAGACAGGAAAATGTTATAAATGTTTGTGTGTTAGCTTAAGCACATTGCCTTTATTTATATTTGTGACACAGATGAAAATCAAATAAAATTTGATGATCCATTAATGCAAAAAGAGGATTCCAAATTCTTGCCATTGTATCTGAAGCACAGCAGGAGGAGAGTGAAAATGCTGTAAGGTTTACTGACCTCCTTTACTCATTAAATTCAAGAAAAGAAAATCTGCATGTTGCGGCACACTGATCATAAATAAGCACTGAAGATCATTTTGGTCTTTTTCTCAGGGTGCTAAATGATCAGTGAGAGGCCCCACAAATAAAAACATATTGACAAATATGGGAGATTGTATGTAATTTAAAAGTTTTTTTTATAAAAATCCAACTCAGTTTCTTTCAAATGTATAAGGCGTCATCATTATTTTCTATATTCAGATATACAAACTCTAAATACGTCTTATAAAATAGCTCTTGGCATTTAACTGCTTTATCAAAGCCTTGCTTAAAGTGAGTTTTCTCCTGATTTAAACAGTGAGTGTACAGGCGCAGCTTGTGTTGAAGAGGAGACATCTGTACATGAGTCACAGGATGTAAGAGACCTGACAAGTCTTATCAGACGCCCAGCTCCATCCAGCCTCGCTCGAGTTATCAGCCCAAAAGGCTTCTAAGGAGGGTGTGAATGTTACTTTTGTGGCACTTCAAAGCAAAACTAACTTTATTATTAAGCTACTAGTGCTGATAGAAGGATTTAACCTGAAACACTGCATGGCAGGAAAAAAAGAGGAGTGAATCCCTGTCAAACATAATATATGAAAATCTGTTTCAACAATACACATGTAGAAGTAATTCATCAAGTTTGAAATGTCTGACACACTATTTTTCTTTGTCCCAAACAGACAGTAATTAGAAAAACAGCTGAGAAAGAAAGAAGACCTCATTTGATTGAATGACTGTCAAAGGCCAGAACTTTTCCACCGAACCTTCCTCTTCTTCTTTTTTTAACCTTTCTCTTGAAAGGAACACCTGAAAGTTATAAATGTATAATGGAAATTTTAAGTCACGTGTGTTCAGCTTGTTCTAAAAAGATCCTTGCCTACATTTTATTTCCAGCTAATAAGAAACTCTGGAGCTGGTCCTTTTTGTGAACAAAGGTGATGAAAATATCTGTTAGTGTTAGTGCCTTGTGACCAAACCTCTCCAATTAGACTAAATTTCAGTAACATGTTTTCCATTTGTCATTCACCAAAAAACTACAAGTTTTGATGAGTAGTGAAAACATTCCTAAAAATGCCCATATTAGGAAACAAAGAAAAAGACAAAGTTAAATGAATTATACATTATGGAGCACAGCTTTGATTGCCACATAAACACTTTGCCATAGTGTTGCAATATTTTCTTAATGAAACTTTAGAAGAATTTGTGGACACTCCCTGTTGACTGACTAAGATCATCCACCATCATACACACACACACACCCAGACACTTGCAGTTTTTGTTCTTGTCACTAAAAGTATGGATTTTAACTGTTTTTGAAACTCAAGGTTAAAAACATTAAAGGTCACACTACAACACACAATTTAGGGGATTCACCAGGTAGAATGGCGTGTTAAGCTTTGAACAAACATTTTAATATTGTGGAGAAGCTTTGATAAACTCATTGTGAAAATGTTTCTGTGTCTTGTCAGGAAGCTGTTAAATGATATAAATTTAATTATTATCAGCTTCAGTTAAAGAAACAATGCTAATTATTAAAAATTTAAAAAAAAATTCAGTTTGTTGTTCATTATCTGTGTGATCACTTGAAATTTTATTGTCTTCCGTACAAAATGTTCTGTAAGGCATTACACCGACTACCATGGTGTGTGTGTGTGTGTGTGTGTGTGTCAGCTAGCTCACCTGACAGATAAAAATCAGAAAATGGATCATGTATTTTTGTGATATGTCATGTGAGAATTAAACCACTACAACCAAAGTCTAACAGTCACTGCAGACACACAACTACAAATACTATTCCCTCACTTTTACAGTGACTAAATCTGAACAACAACCAAATAACTAAATATTAAAATTCTGTAATAAAGATGCTATTTGTAGCTTTATTTAACCATTAAGTAAAAACATGTGTCTAAGGGTTAAAACTGAAAGGTTGTCACCCATTCATAAGGTAGCATGTGACTGAAAGTGAGAGCGGTGCAAAAAAAAAATTCATAGGTGAAGGTACAAGGTCTTGAGTGAGGAAGGAAGCTGACGGTTGACAAGTTGTAATGAGGGAAACTTCCTTTAGAAAAGAAGCGGGCAGCGAGTCAGACTGAAACCTGTCAATAACCAATGATGTAGCGCTCTGAGTCTGCAGCTCAATGAACAGTGACTGCCAGAAGGACAGGTCTTTCATAAGCCCACACATATGTAGGTACATAAAAAAATGTCTTTCTACATTCATAAGCTATATATCCACACACACACACACACACACAAATTATATATAAATATATATAAATATATATATACATATGTACAGATAGATAGATAGACAGACACATATATAGGTATATACACACACACACACACCTCATTTGGAACATATTTTAATTTGTGCCAACATAAGAGGAGTCATAAAATGTCAATAAAACTATGCAGAAAAGAGGAACAGCGGCAGTTAATATACGCTTTTCACTGAAGTCTTTCTCAGAATTCACATTACAAATAAAGTAAATGTGCCAAAAGACAACATGGCAAGAAGACAGCTGATGCAATCTCATTGCCTGATTTCAGCAAGTGTGTGGATGTGTGTGTGAGAGACAGAAATGCGGGGATAGGTGTGTGTGTGTGTGCCTGTAATAAAGGGCACTCCCACCAGCAGGTGTGTTGAGGGCAGTTTCCAGCTGTAGCCCCGGCATCTCTACAAGGACACCCATCACAGCACCCATGTCCAGCACCAAGGCTGTTTCACTGGCTATTACAACCAGTCCTTATTTTCAAAAGCCCCAAGACTGTGTGATTGTGTTGGTGGGATTGTTACATTTTGCTTTGCATTTTTCTTTAAAAGCTTTTACTGGTTGTACATGTTCGGAAGCACTCTGTGTCTATTGGCTTCATGATCAAACCAGTCTCTCAGTCCTTCATGCAATAGATATAATCAACCCTAAACCGACACTGATGCAGTTTCCAGCTGGGCCTCTCAAAAATACTGACACAAAGAAATCTTGTCTCTGAAATTTCTCTCACCAGAAACTCAAAATTGATTTTTCTTTCCTTCTAGGAGGGAAGACACACAGAAGCAGCTTGTGCTCTCCATGAGAGCAGATTGTAGGTAATAACCACCACAATAGCAGCGCATCAATGCATACGAGAGAACACAGAGAGGAGGTTTTTGTAATAGACAAAAGTTCATCCTTTCCTGTGAAGCAGCCAGAACATGACAATAATCATCCGATCAATTAATCACTTTGTACAGCAGAGTAATGAGCCAACACAATGTGTCAAAACCTCAGTTTCAAGGCCTACCCAACATATTTCAAGCAGAATACAGCAACAAGTCATCTTCCAAAATCACCATGTTTATTTCAAAGGCCACCTCTGGTTCTGTGTAACCTTCATCAGAGCCATGAAGAGGAGGAGGAGGAAGCAGACTTCACACAAAGAAACATACTGTAAATGATCTGAATGCCCCATGACCACCCAAAAGGTCCCTCAACTGCCAAGTTCTATATTAACTCTTTCATGTGTGATAGCTGCACACCCCACAGGGTACTTTTGGTGAGCAAACACACACACACACACACACACACACATGCGTACACTAGTGCACACAAACACCCCCATTACTCACCTATTGAGGGAGACCATCTGTTCCACAGTGTGTGTGCTGAAGGTGAGAATCACAAACAGTTTCTGTATGACAAAGAAACACACAGGAAAGAACAAGTCAGTTACTGAACCATGAGGTCACTGCTGGGGTGCAGAACAAGGCAGTAAGTGCATCACAGTCTGATCAGTAATTCCTTAACTCACCCTTGCACACATCATGCCCAAGCCGATGCCTTGCACCACCAGGGCAATTTTGTCTAAATGCAGCCATAAAGATGCCTTTTTGTCATAGAGGGCAAGAAATAAAAGGCTGGAGCTCTATGACGCGCTACTAGTGCAGTAGACTAGGTCAGCATATCACACTAGCTGTCATCAGAAGTGTGTGTGCAAAGGAGAGATGGATAAAGGAGTGGAGGAGTTCAGGGAGATGTGTCATTGCCTCCACACGGGGTCTGGAGGCCTGCTCCTGTCCCATTGGATTTCTGCTTAGTCACGGGGCCAGAAGGGAGAGATGGGCGCAGGCATCCATTCTGTCTCCTATCACCTCTGTGACCTCATGCAGGAACATGCATACACTAACTTTCACTAACATTCAAGGTCATTTACTTGCTGAGTTGTTGTATTCTCATAAACAAACATATATATTTACCACTAAAAATGTGGTTTGATCCAGTATCATCTAGGTTGCCTTCAAGATGCCTTCAGAAAGGCTTAATCCAACAAAGCTTTTGGCGGGTCCATCATTACAAACTCATGTTGTGCAGAAAAGGATTGTTCAAACCCACAGAGCCTTATTTTAAATTCTAGTCCAGATCTCAAGGTTTCCAAGGATGTTAAATATAAACTGCCGAATTACAGGGAAAAGTGTAAAACTGATACATGAGACATCTAGAATTTTCCATTTTGTGTAATGATGGAGCCATAAAAATGTCAGTTTGAATATTTTACTCAGTATGAATGTGCTTCAAATAGATGATGCGAGCACATACAGAATATATTGTTCAGAATGTGAAATTTGCAATTACGCTGACATCAGGAAAGCATTTTTCAGTATGCTTTAGCAAAAGGCTAAATGATGAAATGAAGTACTACTTTCTGACAGGCTACAGTCAGACCCTGATAACCTGCTATATTACTGATATGATTATTTTCAAGTATGATTGGTAAGATTTGAACAAATACTTCATTAAGGACCACTAATCAGTACTAATACAATTTAAAAACAATGGCGTTGTATTTGTAATACTATAGGAAATATACATAGTATAGCTAATTAAACTGCAAGTGTACAAATATAAATGTGACAGCTTTGCTGATACACACCTAGAGCAGCTCTTTTAAATGGTTATACTGAAGAAAATTCTGCATCAGGACTCGCATTGACAATGTAGATGTCATGTGACAGGCCTCTGATCACTGCACTGTTAGGTTATGAAAAGTCATTCATCCATGTAGTGGTTGTCTTTTCATTTGTGTGGTTTAAATCTTAAAACTAAAGATCTGTAGTCAGAATGTCGGTAACGTCACAAAAATACAATGTTGGCATCACACCCAGCATCTGCAACAATGAAAAAGACTGACCTTTGCTGTCTTAACTATTCTTGTGCTTCCCACCAAAATAACATGAGACAGTACCGACAGTAAATGATGGCAAGGTTTATCCTGAAATTCACCGAGAGGTTTTGGAGTAATGCATTTAAATTTGGACTTTGTGCACCTGCAGCTCTTTAACAGACGCTATCAACTGCACTGTCATCTCACACAAAGCAAGGAGGAAGGAACAACAAGATGGCCGACACAGGAAAGCTGACTCAGATGCCTTAAACGTGTCTGCTGGGAAACTGATGGTGACATGGTCCTGACTCGCTGATTTCAGATAAATGATAATGTTGATAAGAGCTACGCACATACCAGTCATAACCATTCTGTCACACATACACACTAACAAAAAGAAGCATTACATCAATTGTTTACAGAAAAGGACAACTCATTATCAAGAACCAGACATATATTAAATGATTTAACAGTAATATGGAAGTGAGAGCATCCTGCTTTAATGTTGTGTTTTTGCAGTGCTGACAATGCACACATTCAGAAACCAAGTGTCAGAGGGTGTAGAATAACAATCCTCTCTTCTTTTTTTGTTTCACAACTCTTCTGTCCTGAGCAAAATCACCCAATCTCAAGGGCCTGAAATGTTTATTTCCATGACACCACCAGCTGTCCTCAGATGACCTGCTACGTCACAAAGCCGCTGACATTAACCATTCAACAGCATACATTCAGAAGACAAGCTTAATGAGTGTAAAAGGTGGAAGCAGTAAAGAAAAAAAGCCTCTCCTTGGAGACCGGTAAGAACACACCTGAAGCACAGGTACATACCCAGATCAAAAACATGCTTTGAACCATTGAGGCTGCTCAGTGTTTTTACAAACACACACACCCACACACACACACACACACACCACAAGCCTCAAAATCCCCTATTGTTTCCTCTTGGCCCATGAGGGAGAATGTTACCTGCTCTGCATTGTGCTCTCTTCTTGTTTTCTACTCACATACCATAAACTACTAAACCATTTGCATTTGAAGCAAAACCTAAGCTTGAAAAAAAAATCAATCAATAAATAAGTAGCTTCAGGAGAGACTGGGGCCCCAGACATGCTGGAGAGCTGGGTGAAGTCTTTCTTTCCATGAGACAGGGAGGGACACACCTCTGTCAGTGGGGGCCCTTGGGACCCCTGGGTGTAATCTGGTCCTGTGTATGTGATTGTCCCTGCCCCCCACCTTCTCCATCACCTCCCACAGACAATGTTTATCTGCCTTAGCTTGCGTACACTAGGTCCACCCCCACTTCCCTAGCTTTTTTCTCAGTTTGGTGAACGAGGCTGAGTGGTAAAAATGCTTTGCTTTTAACCCTTCCTCTCTGTGTCACAATGAGCAAATTCCAGCGTTTGCTGAGAAAACAGAAAGCTGAGCCCCTGACGGTAATCACAGACATACTGCAAATTCCTGGATGCAAACTGAAGATTTTCCAGGATTAGAACAAACTTTTGTGATGCCAAGTCTCCTAACAGCAGTTTTTATTCAAGGGTTAGGATACATCTTTTCCTTTCCCATAAGTTCTCAATCTACAGTAGTCTGACCAGTCTATTGTACAGTGTACTGGGGCTGCTGCAGCTGCAGTCACAAAATGGTTGACTCCCCCTGCTTTGCCTGCACAAAATGGCTTCCTTAGTTCCAGCTGAGAGCAGTACAGAGATGCTGTACATGAGTGTGACTCCTTAATATGTACGTCTCCCTTTTAACAACTTGAACTATGCAAATCTCTAACTTTGACACAACTGGAAATCTATTTGCCCTTTTAAATCTTTTCTATCCCATACTACGCGGAAATGGCCAGATGTGTTTTGTGTCAAACTCTGCTTTACCATACATGTTGTATGTGTCAGCTGTACTTTACTTTTTATCTCTGCATTGGCATTATCTTTATGGATTTATACAGACTGCAGCTTACCAGAATGTACATTTTGATAACTGCTTTCCCAGTGAGTGTTGCACCAAAAGATGCCCAGAGCGGAACTGGAAAATGTTCACATGCGTTTTCTGCCAAGTCAAACAAGGGACTTGGTATCTGGAAAAACCAATATAGATGACAGGGTTTGATGTTGCGTACATTCACTTGAAGAAACACAAAATAAGGCATACGAATAAAGTGTTGTACCTAACACAAATCCATGTAGTACTTTTTCTTCTGCATTACCCCTTGACATCTGTATTCCAGTTGCAGGTGTACTCACTGAAGTTAATGCTGAGAGAATATCTGGTAAATGTGCATTTCATATTATTTATGTTTTGCTCATATGCTGAACAATTCAGAACTGGCCTTGCCTTTGAATTATGTACAAATGTATTTAGACCTATCAACCCCACTGTAGGGCTGAACAATATTTTATGCAATCAAGATCATGTATGATTTTACTCACAGAAGCACAATTTCAAATCCCAAAGAATGCAAACTCCTGGATGGATTCTGTACTGCTGCCTTCGCTCTGGTGGTCCTGCAGAAAAGTAAAAGTGAGAAAAATGTGTGACTAGGAGCTTGTTGATATTTCGCTGAGATTGATCACACACTGCATGTATAATGGAAGCAAAACCTTTATGAGACACACATCAAACCTGCTTCTCATAGGTTTGTATATTTTCAAGAAGCCAAATTACAACATAACTATTGCTGTTGTATTAAGACTATTTTTGCTGCATGTCAGGGTGTCTTTAATAACCTTTTTTAGACATAATCGAGTAGTTATCATGATCAACATTTCATATAATTATTTCATATGATTTTCATATTATATTAATTGTTTCTAATTAATTTCTACTAAATTTCAGATTAACAAGTAAAATATTTTGGATCCAAATTATTAACTGGGCTACGGAAACAGTTTAATTAAAGAGCAAAGGGTTTTTTCAGTGTTTCTGTGAATTTCACAGAGGTGTGTGAAATAAATGTGTACCCAGTCACAATGCTGTTTCTGAGGAGATTTAAATAAATGCTTTGAAACCAACTCAAATGTCACTTAAAAAATGGTGAACTTTGGAAAAAATCTTAATTTAGGACAGCACTGTATAACCACAGATCTGCTTTTAGGGTTTTGAAACCACTTCTGAATGTTAATGTTTCAACTTGTTTTCAAAATTACTGTCTGTGTCATGACAGTAAATCCCTCCATTTTATATTCAAAAACATATTAGTGGTCAAGTGAAACGAAAAATGAGTGAATAACCTGTTTATTTCATTTGTGCTCATTTCTAGATGAGTTCTAAATGAGTTTTCAATCTTTTGTAAATGTGCCCTCAGCAAAAAAATTTAATCAACTATAGAATATGACAGAAACTGGAAAACAAAATAATTAATCTTTCAGAAATTAGACACACAGCAGCACACAGTTTACAACTTGCAAATACATATAATTTAATGAATTGTACACGAGAGTGATTTTCATTTAGTAAATCTTAGAAATTGTTTGTCACCTCTCAGGTTTAACTGCTTAATTTTAAATGAATCTGTCAGGTTTAGCTGCTTAATTTTAAATGATAAAAAATCTTTAAAATCCAACAAATATGCAGCTCTTTAGATTCTTTGCACTGTATTTATTCAAATTTATTCACAACTTTTAGAAATAAATGTGAAAAGTATGTGTGATGAGGAACTCTGCTTGGAGAAAGGTTGTCTGCTTCTTCATATACATCACAAAAACATGAACCTGTTTAATAATAAACATCTTCTTAGAGGGAAAACATATTTGTCTAAGTGTTTGAATGAAAAAGGAAGGTTTCAGGATCAAATCGGGTTCTGTGCTAAATTCATCACCATCCTGCCAGCACAGTAGCTTTCAAGTTCATAGCAGAATGTGCTGATTCACCTGCCACACATCCTGAAAGAACTGCAAGGCTCACCTCTAAACATGTTTTTTCATTGTAGGAGAATTATAAACTGGTTTTAGCATGTCTGTGTCTTAACTCTGGTGCCAGTTATTACTTCCATTGTTACTGGGAATATGAGAACAAGACAACAGACGCTGGTCAGTCCAGTGACTCACAAATTCTTACTTTTTCTGCTGGTTTTGCCTTTTTCCCTCTTGACAGTTCCACAAAAGCCTCTTTTCACAGCAATGACACAGATTCTTCCCCCCCCCCTTGTACCTTTTCTGGGAAGAGGAGCTGTAATCGGTGTGGATTTTATTTTAAGTAGTTCTGGGAACAAAGTGGGAATACAAAGGAAACCCCTGGTTCTGGACTTTTCATATTTTTGGAAGACAGATTCGATATCTACTGTAGGTAAATTATAAAATAATAGCTTCCATAATGCTACATTTGGCATAGTTAAATTTGATTTGATTATTTTTGCACAAAAATTGTGTAATTTTGGGTTGATATCACAACTCTGAAAACACTGTACCAAGGACACTGCATTCAATGCAGGGTTTTCTTTTTAATTTGTTGGTCTTATTATGTTAATAAATTGATCTTTTGGTAGTGGTGAAAATAGATTTTACAGCCAAAAACTGAACAATGCCTTTCATTTTTTATCATTATCTCCACATTGTCTGAGCTATTCTTAAAATTGTTCCACTTTTATTGCAAAAAAATATTTTATTTTTTGTGTAATTTTTGCGGCATTTTTGTGACTGCTTCCTTTTTAAATGCTCACAATTACTCAGTATATTTATTCTTCAATATATAAACAGAAATACTCTTTATTTATGTCATATTAGAAGAGGAATTTGTTTTACATGCTCTTCTTTACACAGGCTGTCTCTTTTAACCGTTTTGCAGAATTAAGACTTAAATATACGCTTAATGTATTGTATGCAGAAATATGCTCAGAAATAATACACACTATATGTTGAATAACCACATAAATGTGTTTATTGAACATATAGTGTGCTGTGGTTAAATAAAAAGGCTCATTGCATATTTGTAACCTCAGTATTTTAATGCAAAAAGCTTTAAAAGTTCTTAATAATAAATATATTAAAGGCTTTGTTCCACAGTGAGATGATCTGTATTTAAAGAAAACACACTTTTCAGACTGACTGCTGATATGAATACATAATTATGTTGGTATTAAACCTAACATTGACTGTAAAATAGTATGTTGCTCCTGCACCAAAATAATTTTATAACATTTCCTGAAGATTTTCATGAGGCAAAGCGTTTCCCAAATGCATATACTGCATGTCAGACTCACACCCTGGTGTAACTGCTGGTTACTGGACTGTGTTTAATTATTTTAGATCTAAATATCCTGTATGTTTGCTGTATGTGAAGTAAAAGCATATTTTTCTCATATAAAAAACAACTAAGACAAAGCTTTTCCTATGAGAAGTAAAGAAACTGTTTTCTTTTAAAAGACAAGGCCATTATTTTTAAAACATCATATTCATTAAACTAATGAGGTGCATGAAGGCGCAGGAAATACCTAATCATACCTAATATGGTCAACAGAACCAGTACAGTGCTGATGACATTCTTTATGGGGTGCAACCCAGCAGCCAGGAAATTTGAGAGACATAGGAGGTCGCCTAATAAGGCGGTGATGGGGGTAGCGAAAGGACACGCAATCTGATTGGCTCACAGTTTGAATTTCTGCCTCCACTGACATCCAATCGTGAAGGTTTCTCCTTGGACTAGCGTGAAGTTTTAATTCTAGCCTGAACTCATGTGTGCATGCACATGTGTGTGTGGGAGTGTTTGTGTGAGTTGCTCAGCTGGTGGGAGACAGGGAAGGAAGGAATGTGTATAACTGGTTTACAGCTGAACCTCTGAGAACTGTGTCTGGATCAGGAGCACCTGATAACAGCTGCCTGCAGCACAGGCAGAACCAATCAGTGCAATGGATCACCCTGTGAATCCCCTTCATTTTCTCCTGTCATGTCACATGCACTGTTTACATTAGGTGCCATAGTCATGCTTTTGGCTCATGCAGTGAGGTCTGGCATAAAAATATAACCACAGTGTGAATAAAGCATCCTTGTGGAGGTGAGGGAAGGCTCTGAAATGGTCTGTGTTTGTATGTGTGTGTGTTCTCATGACACTGTGATTTACTATAGTTGAACTATGTCCTTGGACTCTCTGCTCTGCATTTCTGGATCGGGGAAGCATCTATCTTGGATGGCTAGGCTTCAGACATCCAGACTCTGTCATTGGTGGCTTATGGAAAATCACCATCTTTAGCAGGCAGCTTGCCAAGGGCTGCCTGTGAACCACCCCAAACTCTGCCCTTCCTCCAACCCCGTCACCCCCGGCCTGCTGGATTTAGCAGCGATTACATTTAGTAAGATCTTGTCAAGGGTGCAGCATCACCGAAACTATGAAGGTGTTGGTTCGACGTTTGGCTGCCTGATGCAGATGCCATACTCAGCAGTCTGCCCAGTCACCCCACTTGGAGTCTGGTAATAATACACACTTTTGAACTCTTTATAGATTTGGATTTTTCCCCACAGATGATCAGATTAAGCTGATTTGTCATTTGAATAAGCAAATCAGAAGTGCTCCACAGAAACCACATTTGACCTGTTTCCCCATTGTTCCTGCCCTGTGTTTCATGAACATGTGCTACTTGCAATATAATTAATTAATGATTTTGGAAAATATAGAGGTTTTAAAATAAGATGACAGCAATGACTACAAACACATCTGTTTGGATTGAATCATAGTAAATACCCTGTAGATAAATGAACGTACTGAAAGAGGAATAGTTTGCCCTGTATTAAACTGTATGAGGATAGAACATAGGGAGCGCTATATTAAACATTTCAATATCTGTGGTTGCTGTTGCCAGGTGATGACGGTTATTAGAAAAACCCACAGGGAAAACCCCAAGAGAAGCAATTTTTGAACTTGATTGCGAAATCCCAAAGCCTTAAGTTTATTTTATACTGTATAATTACTTGATCATAGTACATGTTACTAAATAGGTGAACTGACTAGTAATTATATATGATAGTGACTTTTTGCCAGGTTTTCATAAAAAGTGGGATGTGATATTGTGTTATTTTGGATTTGATGACAAGCTGCTCAGTGGGTTTGCTCACAAAAGCTCGACTTTGCATTGTGAAAAAGTTAGCAAGGCAAACACTTTGTTTTCACTAGACTTTAATAGTGCTGATGAGGCACAGAGTTCAAACCGACAAAAAGAAGGCAGCTCTGCTCCATGTAGAAAATTCAAGTGTCAAACAAGGAAAAATCAATGCATAGCTTATACACGTCAACACCTACGCACATTTTTTCTCTCCCTCTGTCTGTTTTCTTTTTTTTTCTCAATGAAAGTCTTTCACACAGACACATCTCCAGAGCTGCTGCGAGCCCGCCCCCCGACACGAAGATGGCTAAGGTTCATCTCATTAAGCCCTGACAAGCCCACGCCCGCTCTCTCTCTGGTGCAGGAACTGGAGTGATTAAGGAGTCCTGACGCAATCAAAGCTACAGTCCCCTTTCAAGAACAAAGAAAAAGTAAAAAATGAGAGCTACACATAGAAATCTATCTAGACAAAAATGCACTCAGACAAAAAAAGCACCCTTGAGTCCACGTTGACAAATTCTTTAACAAGCTGTGGTTAAAGGGAAGCTGGTTTTACTCTGACTCACCCTCCTCCTTTCAAACAGTTTACTGGAAATAAAGAGGGAGGAGGAGGGAGGGGCACTTTCAGAGAAGTCACATGATGGGGCTGGGCAAACCACAGCACAGAGAGCCTTTGAGTGCAGTAGGCCAGGGGGGGAAGGCAGGCATACGCCCAGCGCAGATGGCCCCGATTTGAGTTACAGGAGATACAGTCCTGGGAGTTGGCAATCAAGAATTCACAGCCTGTTAACCCTTTCCATGCTGGATGGAGAAAAAAAAATAGAGAAGCCAGGAAATGTTATCAGGTTACAAGCCCTCATGGACTTGATCCATGCAGGATGCTGATACGGTCTGTGTTAACAGGAGGATTCCTCTTCAGCAGACAGAGTGCTCTCATACAGATTTAACAAGGGGAAAAAAGCTGATGTTCGTGACATCAGTGTCTGTAGCCGTTAGAAAAGGTATGATGTCATTATTCTTGAATAGCTCTGCTGAAGGAATGAGGGAAAAAACGTGCTCTGCTGTTGTGCATCACATATACCTGTGGCAGGAAGTTGGCACGTGCAGGCTGGGAGAAATACCACTGGGTTTAAGTCAAAAACTGTTGGCACCTACAGATCTCTAAGACTTGATTGGAAGGGACGAAGTCAGCACCTCAATCCAGCTCTGTCGCTACAGGGAGGAGAGAACGTGTGGGAGTGAGTGTGTGTGTGTGAAGGGGGGGGGGGTCCACATCCTTGACGACAAAATTTAACCACTTCCTGTCTAAACACAATGATCCAACGACATCACATTTTCTCCAATCAAATCCCAGTGGAGTCTGTTTCCACTTTGGTATACTACTACTGATTTTCAGCTTTGAATCAAAAACTCAGACGCAAATCCACAGCAGATGAATGCCTCCATGTCCATCTGATAAGGTGTAAAAAAGTGGAAACATGAAAATCAGACGTGTTGCGGAATCTCCTTGAGTGAAAGAGGCAACCCTGGGAACATCCGAATAATGGTAAAAGCCCTGGTGAGAGAAAAATGATTCCATATGTGGCAGGTCCTCACTGGTACAAAGAACCTGCTTCAGATGCTGTCCAGTCACAAGAGCACACAATACATACATACACACGGGTGCCAGAGATCATCAGAGAGAGAGCACGAGAGAGAGAGCAATGCACAGTGGGTGATGAACCCAGTGCGTGAGAAAGAATCAGAGTGTAGGAAGAGAGGGACAGAAAGAGAAACGGTGTCAGAGAGAGAGCCACACTGAGTGTGTGTACTGACACTGCGGCATGCACCGTCACTTCTAATCCGTCCTTTTGCGGATGCAAGACAAGCAGGCGATGCACCTCCTGCGTCACATTTTTTTATTTTTTCTGGAAAAAAAAAAAAACATGCAGGAGCTCTTCCACTTTGAGATGATCACTTAG